GATCGTTAATCTAGACGTTTAGGGTTCCTCTTTAGCATAAAGAAGTTCTTACAGCTTAATTGCGTCTTGTTTAATGACTGCATTTTTTAAATGGTTGCTGCGACGAAGAGATCAATGTTCTGTAACATATTCACGGTTTGGACTTCCAGGTAGTAAACTCTGTCTTGATAGTTTTATCCTTTTATTTTTTTCTGCATCTTTCTTACTTCCTGGCATTTTTTGTTCTTTGCCTCTTTGTCAGATAAAGTATAGCGTAATTAGCTTAAGTTACATTTTTCATCTTCTCAATGTTACCGTTGAGTTAACATTTAATTTTTATTCTTTAGGTCTCTTTTAACAGAATTTCCAAAATTTAAGAATTTAAATGAGTAAAAATTCATGTATGAAGGAAGAACTGTTATCTTTGTTTTTTGGAGAGTAATCCTGCCTGATTATTTGCTTATCCACCTTCAGTTTTTTTTTTTTTTCTGAGGAAAAGGTTTTTTGTCCTTAATTTTCCCTGGTAAAAAAGTTTTTCCGGCAATTTTTTAACGATTTTTAATTCTATCATTCGCTTCAGGAGATGCCGTAGATGATCGACCTCCGCCAACACGGATCTATGTCGAGCCGTTTGATGAGAATCACCCTAATTTTTTGTTTTACAAAGCCTGTCACTCAACAAAAGCAGCAGTAGTAAGTGCTACATAAATTTCGTTTTGTGCTTTTATGTTTGTTTTAATGGACTTACAAAAATTTTTGTAGCATAACTCGCAATTTATTTGCTTTACACATTTTCCCTGCGCTACGCAGCGTTTACTGAGACTTTCTTTTAAAATTTGAAATAGTTAAATTTGTTTCGGTTGTAAGCTTTTATTTTATTTATTTTTGTGGTGTTACTCCTCTGATTATTTTCTCTATTACGCTGCTTGGGTCGAATTTGTCAGCAATAGGATAGTATAATTTAAACAGTTATAATGTGTTAAGAGGATGTTATAAGCCGTAGAATCTGTAATGTATTGCTTTGCTTGGGATTTAAGGCCTGTGCTGGGTTTGGGATGTCTATAGTTATACTTTGCTTTCTCTCCCTGTTCTTCAAATTTGACTGGTACAGTCACACGAGTGGGATCGATACATTAACATTATGTAAGTTTGTTCTGCATATGCCTACATAATTTTCTCATGTGATTCGATTTAAAAAATTTATTAAAATTTGTTTTAATGGCTTTACTTTCTTTTTGGTTCTTTTTTTTCTAGTTATATCATTTATAACTTATTTGTTTTTTTTTGTTTTTTAGCTTAAGGTCTGCTTTTAGCAACTTTTTAAAGCTTGAGTGAAGTTTTTCATGCATTTTGCACTCTGGTATCGGAAAGCTTCTGTATTCGAGTGAAAATTATACGCATGGAAAAGCCGTTTTAATTTATACTTAATATGGACTAGTCCTCAATCTATTCAAATCAGTTTTATAATCTTAGTATCTTTTTCAGTGATTTTGTTCTTCTTTTTGTTTTTTGGAGTTATCATTCATTATGACGTTATTGTTGGTGTTAAACGTCAATCTGCTCATTTTCTATTACCGTTTATCGTTGTTTATGCAATGACAATTGGTGCAGAACTCACACTGTTTATGTAAGTTTTTAAAAATTTCCTATTGTACGAATTGAGTATTTGCTACTTTTTGTCCAGCTTTTTTGGTGTTCCTTTTGTCTTTGAAATTGTTCTGTTTTTTTTTCGCCCCTGCCTGCTGTCTTTCGTTCAGAATGCTTTTCTGGCTTAGATGTCATCGTTATTTAGCGTTGTTAGAAGTTTCTAGGTTTTTTTGCTGGCTTTCCTTAATATCTTTTTTACGGCTCAAAAATTTAATTTTTTAGTTATGTTGAACTTTCCTCGAGAACAGGAGGATTATTTTGTTTTGCTTTGTTAATTTTGTTAATTTTGTTTTTTTGCCAAGTAATTTCTTATTTTGTCTTGGCCAAGAGTCAATTTGTTTCCGAAATACTTTCTCAAATATCTTCTAAAACCCTTAACCAAAGACACTTACTTGAAGAAAGTTGACATCTTAAGATTCCTGTTTGCTGCTTTTCAGCAAAATTTTACCGCATGCAGACTATTCGGAATTACCTTTCCTCCTTTATTACTCTGTTTTTAGGTATCTTCTCTCTCATATACAGTTCATAAACGATTATACTTTCGGCGAGCGTACTCATAACCCCGTTATATTTCTGATGAGTGTTGTTTCTGTCGTGATTTTTGTCCAAGCTAATATGCTTCTGGCCGTGTTGAAGTGCCGACTGTATTTAACTAAAAAAGCTATTCACGCTATTGCATTGAAAGTTGCAGAGAAAAGCGTAAGTTATCATTATTTTTACAGGTATGTCAGTAATGTTTGTGAGCACTTGTCTGATGTATTCGGGTTTTAATTAAAAACGGTTTTGGTGGTGTACATTTGGGTTCTTTCAGAAATCTAAATATCCCGGAGTACAGATCGTCATCGCTCGAAGTTCCAGATCAAATGATCTTGAAATAAGTGTTCCGGAAATGGAACCGGTTAGCGGTGAAAGTCTCCACACAAATAGTTCTGCCCCTGGTGATAACGCAAATGCAAACAGCTCTCTCCCACAACAGTATCCAAATTCCCATGGAAGTTCTGCTTATAATGCTAACGGTCCTAACAACACTGTCGACAAGAATGGTCTCGTGTGACCGTTCTATTCGCTTAGGTTGCTGTTTAACAGTGGTCCATTTGTTTCACTTTGCAGAATGGAGTACTTCTTGTCGATGGTTTTTTGTATTTAATTTTTGAAAAAATAGTTAATTTAGAACTTTGATGTCGTTTGGGCGCTGTCCCTCAGTTCTTTATTATCATTCTAGAGAGAAACGGCTGGCGCGAGTACTCGGCATGTAAACATTTTTATGATAACATGTACTTATATTGAATGACACGTTATTTTTATTAATTTATAGTGAAAGACGGGTAATTTAATGCATAAATTTATTTTTTAGTGGGCTGTATAGCATAATATGCTGAATTTTTGTTAGTAAGACGTATTCTTGTACAAGATTCGCATTTCAGTTGAAAATAAAAATTTTTTATTCATTTCTCATTTTTATTCTGTAGTACTATACTGCAATTTTTTTGTATGAATTTTGATTGTGAATATTATTTTTTTCCAATGCTTCTTAATAGTTCTTGTTTGTGTTTTTGATGAAACCAAATGCTTGCCAAAAAGTAGTTTTCATTGTTTTCGTATATGTATCCTTCGCAGATTGCTTTAGTATTAGTATTTTAAACTAACGTTTGTGTGAATTCTTTATAATAGATGGAGTGGAATATGTATGTGCAGGTGTAAAGTATTGCTGTCTTATTTTCCCGTCGTTTTTGATCTACAAGTTCTTCGTTAATGATTAAAATTTGGTTTATTGGATCAGACAGTCATTGAGTACGTTTACTAATTGTTTAAGCTATATGGTACTTTGCAGTGAAGTGGGAAAGTAGAAAGAAGTTTTTTGGAATAGCAACAGATTTGTAGACCTAGAGTATCCGAAAAAACTTTTTGATGCATAGTTAAGCTTTTACGGCTTTGTAAGACTGCAGTTAATTTGCTCATTTTCAGTAGCTTATGATTAATATTCGTTGAAAGACAGATTTTGGAAAAGTCTGGTTTTTTAAAAGTAAGAAGGAAATTTCAAATGTTCGGTGGTGATGGACGCGATGAGGCGGATTTTCATTTATGGGGAGGACCATTAATTTTTTTTACATGTGAGCTCGCTGTCAATAGATTTAGCGGGGACACATGTCCCATCTTTAGTAGGAGTGTGTGCTATACAACAACAGTAGCACTTGTTACCATGACGTATACAGTTTACAGATGGCAACTTCGTTCCTATTACTTGACATAACAACGGCTCAACGTAGCGGAATGCTGGGCCAGAGGAGAGGATTTTAAGTTCTGCTTTTACGTAGCCGGATACATCGCATCCATCTTTTGGTGGTACTGCCTCGACAAATTGAGTTTGTGGGTAGTAACTCTATAATGCAATGAAGTAGACGAGTATTCCTACCTTGCTAATTGGAGGCTCGCTCGGAATTTGTTGAATGAGTTATCTATTTAGAGTCAGTTTACAACTGTTTGTTGAGAGAGAAAGGTTTTTTATAAATCACTTAAGATTGAGCGGTCTTTAAAACCAAAAAACTTTTGAATAGTTCTTTTTTAAATTATTAAAGGCTAGAATTAACCCGAAGCTCTAGTTGTAGTATCGCCAAATAACAGCTTTAAAAAGATTGATGGCCTCCCCAGGATGATGAAAATTTGAGCTATAGATTTGGGAGAAGAACGGGAGAAGGAAAGAAAAACAGAAGGAGAAAAATTTTGAAGCGAGGTACTTTTGTAATTAACAATGGTGATTTACCGTCAACTCGTCGATATCTTTTTGGGTCAACGGTTCCACGGCACAAGCATGAGAATATCCGGGGCACATTTCTGATTGGTAGCTTTGTGACAAAAATGACTTGGCAAGCCTGAAATAACATTGTGTATTGAAAAACTGAAATGAAATTTGCATCTTTTGAACGTTCTTCAAAAAATGTTTTACGAACTTAAAATGTCAAAATATGTTAAAAGAAATAAGTGCTAGTGCTGGACTGCTGTATAAAGTAATTTGTAAAATTCTTTGTTGATATTGGTACGATAACAACTGTTATAGTACGTTTTTCACGAATTGTAGGTTGAGGGAAAAAGAATTTGAGATAAATAAAATGAAACAAAAGTTGCTATCATTGTTTTTTTGCTTTCTGCCTTTGAACAGTCCCTTTTGTTGTTTTGAAAATCTAGAAATAGTTTTATTAAAAAATTTTTTTCTTTCATTTCTATTTTGACTTTTTTTTAAGGAAAAATTCTGCAAAGCAAAAAAAAAATAAAAAAAAAAAAGAAAAAAGGAAATTTACTTGCAACATCTAACACGTCGACCACAGTTACCACAATTTTCTGCCGGTATCCGCTTGTATAGTGGGTGGTCCAAGTATGAGGTATGATTTCTGAGAAAGCTTAAGCCAAATCGAATTGCTTTTTTTGGTGGTAACTATAAGCACACTAAGTTTTTGATCTATTTATTACTGGAGATAGCAACTGTAGCAGTAATAGCATATACTAAATCTGTTTGGACTATTAGTATAGCATGTTAGCGAAATTGGTATTGCGCATTTGGTTTATTGGTTGCAGATGAAAAAGCATTCGTCAACAGATGCAGAACATAGGGTTGAATTTTCTGTTTGTTAATAAAATTTTGAAGAAAAATATCAGGCTCAAAGATTTTCTCTATTTAACAACTATTTTCCATATATAATAGGAAAAAGAATTTTGGGCAATTAAATTGGTGTAGGCGTTAGCAAACTCAAGCATACAACCTTGCAGCCATGCTCTTTGACATCGCGCAAAAAACTCGTAATTGCATCACCCAAATTACCATTCGGTATCACACATTTTGACCAGGCGGACAATTGATCTGGACGATTTTCACAGGTCGTGCTGAACAATTCAGCTTGACAAACAATTCCTATAAAT